TGAAAATGCACGAGAAAAACGAACTTAACAAATAGGGCAAACGAGTACGGCCGTGGTGCGCTACGTGCGCAACCACGTCACCCTTGGCCGTAGCACCGCGAACAAGAATAATCCTCCGAACACTTAAGCTAATCTAAGCATGACATTGAACATATAACACATAATGGTCGAAGGTTATAACTTAACATGAAATAGTACTCGGGTGGCCCGTGGTGCGCGCTATGTGTGCGACCACACTCCTCTCGGCCAAACCCCATTAACATGACTAATTTCACCCGAATACTTAAGTTCAAATAAACATAATTTCTCAAATAAAGACTAAGTATGCGGGGATTACTCGGAGAATTTAATGAAAAATAATAACATGATTCGGTGAAATAACTTGAAATGAGACATGAATGGCACGGCTATTCACATAACACGCATGCATGACCATTTAACGTCTAATCTTAAATAGACATGATATTCTCGGTCATAAGTCGACGGGAGCTTACCTCTTATAAAGCTCGAGAGGTTAAACGACTCGGACTCCCGCTCTCGGCCGTGCCTCCGCGTGCGTGCGTGTGTTGTGTGCGTGGCTAACGGTACGCGTGACGACTCGCGGCGTGCGGTACTTGCTTCTCGCGTACGGGTGCTGCTCGCGTACGGTGCTCGCTGAGCGATGCGCGCGGCGGCTGGACGCGTGATGGCTTGCGGTAGCTTTGTTGCGTGACAGACTCCGCTCGATAAATACTAGGCGCGCGAGTGCAAGAAGCTAAAATGCTATGCTGAATTTCTCTAAGTGTTGGGGGGAAAATGATTGAACTTAGCATGCAAAGAGGATGAAAATGAACAACTCCCTCCATCTCACAACTTATAAAACCGAAGGTATTAAGAGGGAGGGGAGACACTCGGTCAAAGATGCTCACATGTGATGCACGGCAATGGAGGACAAATGGGACAAAAACACACAATTTCTCACGGCCACCTTACACATGCACTTGCACAAAAATACAAAATGGCGCACGGACTTGGGGAGCAATGAGACAAAATGGGCGCACGGTCTCACATGAAAATGTTGGAAGGATCT